GAAACAATAAAAAAAAAAAAAAAGTAAAGATCTTGAAATGAATTATTCATTCCATCTTAGGATCTTTCTAAAATTTGCCTAAAGTGCCCTTTTATTTTTTCGGAGATGTTTTTGCTATAGGGTGCGTGCACTCGCCAGACAGACAGAGAGAAACATAGAGACAGAAAGCGAGAAATCACCCCCCAGGGGGGATGGTCACGCCGCAATCCCTTCTCCTCCATTCTCCTCTCGGGATCTTGGGCACGCACGCACACACGCCCGGCGTGAGTTTTAAGCCACCAGGTCTGGGACGTGAACCGCGGTCGACTACGTGGGAGCCCAGCGACATAGCCATTATGTTAACTGCTGGTTCCCGAGTTTTAAAGATTTTTGTCCTGTCTTCAGCTATTGATAGGTTCATGTACCTATTTGAACAGAATCCTAACCTGTTTCCCAGCTTTAAGCAAAGTTCCTTAGCATTTCTTTGATTTAAAGTTAAAACTTCTTTTCTTGAAATTACCAGCTGAACTTGCTATTGAAAGTAGTTAGATTATTTAAGAAATTGTGTGATCAATAAAATGTGGGGGGAAAGGAATGAAAGACAACTGTAGACACCAGAGATAGTGTGAGAAGAGGGTGGGAAAGGGAAGAGGGTCAGAAATGGGGGTAAAATACACACATACATACACACACACACACAAACTAGAAATGGAAAATTATTGATGATAACATGCATGATTAAGTCACTATGCAGTATATGCTGGATGGGAAATCACATTTTGTATGCTGTGATGATGCTTAGGGAATGAATGTAAATTAATTTTTTATAATTATTTTTATTTAACTTTATTTATTTATTCATTTGTTTATTTCAATTTGACCAGAGAGGGACAGAAAGAGAGAGCAAAGGCAAGCCACCAGGTCCAGGACTCGAACCGTAGTCGACCATGTGAGAATCCAGTGCCTTTAACCACCACGCCACCTGCCAGCCCCAATGTAAATTAATTTTTAAAATGTTTCAAAAAAAAGCTCATGGAAATATGTGTAATAGGAAAACTATGTATGAATTTCCAAAAGTTTCTGTACCAAAATAAATTCATACTTTAATTGTAAAATAAAAAATAAAATAAAAATTGAAAAGACAACTCACAGAATGGATGAGAATATTTGGAAATCATATCTGAGATGAGACTTGTATCTAGAATGTATAAAGAATTCTTACAACTTGGGCAAGCAGGTGGCATGGTGGTTAAGACACTGGACACTGCCACATGGCTAACCATGTTTTGAGTCCCGGACCTGGTTGCTTGCTTTCTTATTTTTCCTCTCTCTCTCTTTCTATGTCTCCCCCTGGTCAAGGTAAAATAAATAAATGAATGGGGCCGGCAGGTGGCATGGGGGTTAAAGGCACTGGATCATGGCCAACCGTGGTTCGAGTCCTGGACCTGGCGGCTTGCTTTCTCCCTCTCTCTCTCTCACTCTGGCCCTCTCTGGTCAAACTGAAATAAACAAATGAATAAATAATAAATAAAAAGTTAAATAAAATAATTTTTAAAATAAATGAATAAATCTTTGGGAAAATAATTCTTACAATTCAATAATAAAAATACGAATAACCTGTTTTCAATTAGAAAACAGGCAAAGGATCTTAATAGACATTTCTTCAAGGATATATTAGTCATCAGGAAAATGCAAATTAAACTAAATGAGATACCATTGCACTCCTATTTGGATGATTAAGATTTTTAAAAATCCTAAATGTTAAGAAATCAAAACCCGGGGCCAGCAGGTGACATGGTGGCTAAGGTAGCTGACTCCCACATGGCCAACCACGATTTGAGTACCAGTCAACTGCCAGCTTAGTTAAGTGGGAACAGCACTAAACAAGTCTAATAAAAAATCTCTTGTGGTGAAGTGCAAGGAGCTGAGGAACACTGACGAAGAAATAATAAAGAACTTAAAAAGCCTACTCGCCTCCCTTCCATACAATCAGAAGTTTTAAATAAGGAGAAAATATATTTTAAAAATCTTTAATATAGCTTCTTAGAAAACTCTGCACAATTTCCTTTAAATGAATAGAACAAATGTTACATTGTTTTATGTGAATTCATTTATACAAGCCAGTTAATGAGAAGAATTGGTACATTGTATACCAGTCACACCAAGACAACAGAAGTGGGTTATGGTACATACTGTCTAGTTGTAGTGTCTTTTGTTTTTTTGGTTTATTTAAGATTTTATTTAACTTTATTTAAATTTGACCAGAGAGGGACAGAGTGGAGAGAGCAAGAGTGAGAAAGCAAGATGCCAGGTTTGGGATTCAAACTATGTCAGCCAGATGGGAGTCCAGTGGCCTTAACCACCATGCCATTTGCCAGTCCCTAATTGTAGAGTCTTACTTCATCAGAATTTAGGTAGAAAAGTTGGCTTCCCTTACTCCAAAAAAAAAAGATCAAAAGCTGAGTCAATGCCAGGTTTTAGACATACTTCCACTTTTATTTTTATTTTTTTTAAGAAGTTTTTGCTATAGGGCATATGCGTGTGCCAGAAAGGCAGACAGAACACGAGAAATCAACCCCCAGGGGAGATGGCCATGCCACAGTCCCTTTTCATCCATTCTCCTCTATGAATCTTGGGCACGCACACACATGCGCCCAGGACTTGAACTGTGGTCGACTACATAGGAGTCCAGCAACATAGCCTTTACGCCAACTGCTGGTCCAAAATTTTTTAATTATTTAACTTTTTAAAAAAGAATTATTTTAACTTGTTTTTGTTTGTTTGTTTTCCAGTTTGACCAGAGAGACAGACAGAGAGAGAAGGGGAAAGTGAGAAAGCGAGCCACTGGGTCTGGGACTCAAACCGCAATTGGTCGTGTGGGAGTTCAGCGCCCTTAAACACCACGCCACCTGCCAGCCCCAACTTTTTTTTTTTAAGAGAGATTTTTTGCTATAGGGCACATGCGCTTACGAGAGAGACAGAAAGCAAAACATCACCCATCAGGAGGGATGGCCGCACTGCAATCCCCTCTTCCATTCTCCTTTTTGGATCTTGGGCATACATGCATACATACCTGGTGTGAGTTTTAAGTCACCGGGTCTGAGATTTGAACTGCAGTGAACTACATGAGGGTCCAGTGACATAACCATTATGTCATGTGCTTGTCCCTATTTGTTATTTTTAATTTGACCAGAGAGAGGCAGAAAAAAAGGAAAAATAGAAAGTAAATTGCCAGTTCCAGGACTTGAACTGTGCTTGGCCATATGGGAGTCCACAACCCGAACCACGCCACCTGCCTGCCTCCCAAATGATCATTTAAAAGTAATCTTTAGGGACCAGCAGATGGCATAATGAACATTGCTGGACTCCCATGTAGTCAATCGGGTTCAATCACGGACCCAGTGGCTTAAATCACACCTGGCACATGTGCGTGTGCGCCCAAAATCCTGAGAGCAGAATGGAAGAGAAAGGATTGCAGTGTGGCCATTCCCCCTGGGGGCTGATATCTTGCTTTCTGTCTCCGGCTAGTGCACGTGCCCTAGAGTAAGACTATTTTTAAGAGACTTTTTTTGCTATAGGGTGTGTTCGCTCATCGGAGACACAGAAAGAGACAGAGGAGACAGGAAGTGAAAAATCACCCCCAGGGGGCATGGCCACGCCAGTCTGTTTTCCTCTCTTCACATCTTGGGATCTTGGGCATGCACGCGCACACATGCACTTGAAGTGAGCTTGAAGCTGTCAGGTCCAGGACTGAAACCGTGATATATACTATGTGGGAGTCCAGTGACAACCACTATGCCATCTGCTTGTCGCAGCAAAAAATCTCCTAAAAAAGCAATCTTTATTTAAACACACACAGCACTTATGCCAATGACAGGAATTTATTTTTTCACTAGATAAGGCTACAGTAGTTTGGATTGTCTTCGTATAGCTGCAATTCCATTCAAAATTCATACTAATTAAGATTTTTCCATCCAAAATAAGACTCCTACGAAGAGAGGGGAAAATTGCCCAAGGAAAAAACTGAAACGCTCTCCAAATAATTACATCTCATTTTAATTTTTAAGTAAGAAATGCTCAGTAGAAATAACTGATACTATCCCTTTATACCAAGAGGTGTCACAGAATGTGCTGGTCTACACAGACTCCTCCTTATACAACATACACTGCATTCTACTTAGAGATCTGATACTTAAAGCCTTATCCTGAAGGTACGCAGCCCTTACTTTGCCAAATAAATGGAAGGTTTTTGTATCGAGGACCCTATGCTAACGGCAGGTACACTTAGTGGCTATCATGTCTTCATATTCTTTATAAGCAATTGAGCCATCGGGCTCAATGGTCAGAACACTCAAGGGGCTGTATTTGGCAGGGACACACGATGGCCTGGGCACCGAGGAGTCCAGCTTCTCATAGATGATATTTTGTACCATGGTGTGCACTGGAGAGCCATACCGGTGCCCGACAGCCCTCGGACAGTCCCCTTTACAGTATCGAGGGTTGTATCTGTGTGGCGCCACTATCCAGTTGTCCCACTTCAGCTGATTAAAGCTAAGTCTGAAGTCATGAAGCTCACACTCATTCTGGGGAAAAAGAAACTGTTTGAAGTATTCACTCAGATTTAAGGATGCTGGAACCAGAGGCTTCTTCAATTCAGAGCTGACAGTTTCCTGATCTCTCCGGTGACGGGAAGACCTTCTACCTTCAGCAGCCTTTTCTCCCATGAGAGAGGCAGGCAGACTTCTCTGCTGGTCAGGACTCTGTGAGGGCCTTTCATAGTGAAGGGAATACCACCTGTGATAAGCCTGAGCACTTGTGTCATTCAGATATAAGATCAGCGAGGGGGGCACCAGGAGAGTCATGTTCAATGTGCCATCCTGTGCAGAAGGGTACTGCAGCTGGTCTTTCACGCATGTAAAATTTACAGACATGTGAATGCGTTTCTCACTGGAGACCACTAGAGGCTGAAGGAGGGTGGTCACATCAATCTCAAACCATTTATGTTTCTTCCTAAATTCAAACTGTGAGTTAAAGGTAAATGAGTATGTAGCCTTAGGGAAAGTTTTGTGGGAAGACTCTGGCTCCTTTATCACCAGGTTGAACACACATTTAACAGCAGAGGAAAAAGAAACCGAGTTGTTGAAAGTGTATAGCAAGACCGACTTGAGTAAGTGTTCAACAGCAGTAACACGATCCAGGTTAAACCGCAGGTCCACAGATGGAAGGATTCCTGAGAAGAAAAACAATCCACTAGTAGTGCTTGAATATAATCCAACATAATAGGAAGTCAAGCTAAGGAATTAGTATTTCATAAAATGCCTTCTCCCTTCTCTTTTCTCCCCTTTCCTCAAGTCTCAAAATCAAAAACAATAAAAAAAAATGGGGACAGCAGGTGGTGTGGAGGTTAAGGTGGCTGGACCCCACATAGCTAACTGAAAGGTTTGAGTCCTGGGCCTGGCAGCTTGAAAATACTGTGTGTGTGTGTGTGTGTGTGTGTCTCTCTCTCTCTCCTCTCTCCTCTCTCCAAAATCCCAAGAGGATAATAGAGGAGGAGGAGTTGCAGCATGGCCAGCCCCTCTAGAGGGGGTGATTTCTCCCTTTCTTTCTCTCCCCCTCCACCCCCACCAGAGAGCACATGTGCCTTGCAACAAAAATTAAAAAAAAAAAAAAAAAAAAAAAAGACAGAGGAAGTTAATAAAGAAAATGAAGACAATTGGTACCATAACTAATTCCCAGCAACCACAACCAGACCTTTTTATCTCTGGAAAGTCAGAATGACTTTGGTGGTAAATTAAAGCAATAGGGAATAATTACATTCTAAAATTCTAGTCTTTTTTTTTTTTTTAAGAATGATTTTATTTAACTTTATTTTAATTTGACCAGAGAGGGACAGAGTGAGAGACAGAGCGGGAGTGAGAAAGCAAGCTGCCAGGTCCAGGACTTGAACCATGGTTGGTCATGTGGAAGTTCGGCACCCTTAACCACCAAGCCTCCTGCTGGCCCCCTGAAATTCTAGCTTAATTGGCTCCAAACACAGAGGAAGTTAATAAGGATAGTAGTATTTTTGGGACCAGCAGTTAGTGTAATGGCTATGTCGTTGGACTCCCATGTAGTCAACCGCGGTTTGAGTCCTGGACCCGTGGCTTAAACTCACGCCAGGTGCGTGTGCGTGTGTGTCCAAGATCCGAAGAGGAGAATGGAGAAGGGATTGCGGCATGGCCATCCCCTCTTGGGGGTGATTTCTCGCTTTCTGTCTCTTTCTGGGGAGCCACCCCCCCAAAAAAACCCCCCCAAAAAAAAAAAAAAAAAAAAAAAGGATAGTAATATATTTTTCTTCTAGAATCTCCAGAGTGAAAACCATAATAAAAAACATGTATAAAAAATAAATAAATAAATAAATAAAAGACATGTATAGGGTCTGTGAGGAAGACATTTAAGCCCTAATGAATGAATTCAATTAAAAATTAACCCAATTGTCCAAGTTAATTTAGAGCACTTGAGATTGTGGTGCTCAACCCACCATAATAAAACAGAGTATCAAGGAAGGCGGAGGGGTTTAAAACAGCCACAACAACTGTGTTGGATTAGGATGATTTTCTGAGTCATGAGAATTTTTAAAAGCACTGCTCCTTTTTCTCATACAAGACCCGAAGCTGCTGAGTCAAACTTGGACTAATACTTTTTCTCCTAAGGACCTACTGTTCCAAGCAGACACTTGGGCTTTCCTCTCATAGAAAGCAATAACGGGCATAGCGGTTGGGGCACTGGACTCCTACATGGCTGACCACAGTTTGAGTCCTGGGCCTGGCAGCTTGTTTTCAAACTCTCTATCTCTCTGTGTGTCTCTCTGGTCAAATTGAAGAATAATAAATAATAATTTAAAAAAACAAGGAGAAACTACCCTGTTCAATACAGCCCACTAACAGCTACAAGGCATGTTTTAGACATATTTGTGGGTTGACGCCTTGGTAGAATGAGAAGAGATGCTGGCCCCCACTTTTTTTCCTTTTAGATTTTATTCCTTCATATGAGTTTTTGCCAGAGAAAGAGCAAGAGAGAGCAAACCACCACCTACAGTACTCAAACTGTGGTTGGCCATGTGGAAATTCAAGCACCTTAACCATGCCACCTGCTGGCCCCAGATGCTGACCTTCTTCAGCAGCTCTTCCCTCATCCTTTAAAACCATTAAGTCTGTTTAGCTCTAAAATTCTATCATATAAACCCACCTTAGTCAATAGGGGTATTAGAAAGAAACAGTTAAGATCGAATACCAGATGTTTTGATTAGATATTGAGTATCATGAAAAATAAAATACAACTCAAGAAGCAAGGTCCAGCTCCTTTGCATACTTGAAATCCAGAGGCCTCTATCATCTTCCCTCTACCCAGTTAAGCAATCTGCTCTTACACACCTGTCACTTGGTCTCCGGAAGCCTGCTTGTGCTGAGCATAGGGGGTGAAGAGCCGAACAGTGTTGTAGAGGTGACTTCTATAGAATTTGGGAATCCCCTCCTTGGTAGCATATGCCTTATACAGCTTCTTCATGTAGTGCAAAGCTCTGGAGTCTGGCTGCAGCCTAGGGGTTCCACCTTGCCCATCAGACAGAACCTTGAATAGAGGGGGAAGACGACCAGATCTGTCTCTCCCATCTATGGGCTGCAGCAAGGACCAAGGCTCAGCCTTAGATTCTGATTCAACACCAGCTGCAATCTGAGCTTCTTCCCTAGAAGCTTGAGAACCAAGGCTATTAGGAAAACAAAGCCAAGCAAAGTAGCAAAACCAAAGAAGGAATTTGCTGGGAAGCGCCATGGCTTGGAAAATCTAGCACGGAACACATCTCCCCATGCCAGTCTCCTTCCTAAAGACCAGGAAGACCGGAGCTTGGTCTCTTAAATAAATTTTAGGTGTGTGGGTGGAGTATAGTCCCTTCTGTAATTTGACTTCAAGGATGCCTAGGTGAAGCTAATTTTTATCAGTTCTATCTCAAACAGCTGATAACACCCTCTGTATCCAGTTTGCCCTCAATTAATACAGATTTATTTGCTTATTCAGTTATTTTCTCCCATTTCCCCTGGCATTTATTTAAAACCCGTTATCATAAGACTAATAAACTATCTCTATGTAGCTGAAACTCTTAAGAGAAATTGAAAAATGATCTTAATAGCCTCTCATTTTTCAGGAATTAGGACACTTAAAATATTCCTTAAGTGTTGGCTGAAACTTCCTAGGCACATGAAAAAAGTAATCACTTAATACTCAGATCTGTTGGTATGTGATTTATGGTACTGGCTTACTCTTATTTTTAAAAGAATTTTAATTTAATTTATCATTATTTTTAAAATTTTGACCAGAGAGAGAAACAGAGAGAAAGGGAAAGTAAGAAAGCAAGCCTCCAGGTCCAGGACTCAAAATCGTGATCAACCACATCGGAGTCCAACACCTTAATCACCATACCACCTGTCACCTGGGTTTATTCTTCTTCCATCCTCATCACCTCTCCTACTTTCAGGTGCTTACAATAACTCTATACTATACTCTGATTTGGAGGGTAAAAAGAAAGTCACAATTGGTAAAGAAATTCCAGAGAGAACAGAAAACGGCTCAGCCCTCCTTGATGGCTTCCTATAGAATATACACTTAGAACACTGTGATTGTGCTTGCAATGTGCTTAAAAGAGGATGTCACCTTTAACCTTGACTATTTATTTAGGTTTTTGCCATAGGGCATGTGTGCTCACTAAAGAGAGAGGAAAAGTGAGAAATTACCTCCCAGCAGAGCTGGCCAAACAGCAATCCCTTCCAGTCCATTTACCTCTCTAGATTTTAGGCACTCTCGCATATGCACCTGCCGTGATTTTCAAGATGCCATTTCAAGACTTGAACTGTGGGGAACCAGCAGTTAGCGTAATGGCTATGTCGCTGGACTCCCACGTAGTGGACCACGGGTCACGTCCAGGACTCGGTGGCTTAAAACTCACACCGGGCGCGTGTGCGTACGTGCCCAAGATCCTGAGAGGAGAATGAAGGAGAAGGGATTGTGGAGTGACCATCCCCCCTGGGGGGTGATTTCTCGCTTTCTGTCTCTATGTCTCTCTCTCTCTGTCTGGTGAGCGCACATGCCCTATAGTGAAAACCTCTCCAAAAAAAAAAAAGACTTGAACTGTGGTTTGCCAAGTGGGAGTCCAGTGCTTTAATAACTGTGCCACTCATTGGCCCCTTCCTTGACTGCTTTCTAAATAGAATATTTTTATGTTCTTACTTTGGTTTGCACACTCATCTGCATATACTTTGGTTGAGAGGTTTTAAGATATTTGCAGGTGCTAGAAAATAAGCAAATGCAGGCCAGCCGGTGGCATAGTTGTTAAGGTGGTTGGATCCCACATGGCCAACTCCATGGTTGAGTCCCAGACCTGTTGGCTTGGAAGTCACCCCCAGTGTATGTGTGCCCCAAATCCTGAGACGGTAACAGAGAAGGGATTGTGGCATGGCCACTCTCCTTGTAGGGTACTTTCTCATCCCCTCCACCTCCAGCAAGTGCCCAGTCATTATAGCAAAGCTTAAAAAACTGTTGTATTTATGTTCTTGTCTTGAAGATGAAACCAGGCTAGGTGTATTTTAGAAAAATGAAGTAAAGAGGCCAGCAAATGGCATAATGGTTGGGTCGCTGGACTCCCACACAGTTGACCACGGTTTGAGTCCCAGACCTGGTAGTTCAAATTCACACAGGGAATGTATGTGTGTGTACCCAAAATCCAGAGAGACTGGAGAAGGGACTGCGGTGTTACCATCCCCCGGGGGGGGGGTGACATATCACTTTCTGTCTGTCTCTCTCCAGCAACCACACATGCCCTATAAGAAAAACCTCTTTTAAAAAAAAGGGAGGGATGGGGCCGGCAAGTGGCATGGTAGTTAAAGGCGCTGGATTCCTACATGGCCAACCATGGTTCAAGTCTCGGACCTGGTGGCTTGCTTTCTCACTTCCTCTCTCTCTCTGCCTCTCTCTGATCAAACTGGAAAATAATAATGATAATAATAATAAATAAAGTTAAATAAAATAATTCTTTAAAAAAATAAATAAAATAAATTAAATTTAAAAAGGGGGGGAGATGGCACGCAGCAGCTGGACCTGAGGGTTCCTCTGGCAGTCTGCTGTCTGGTTCCAATGGCCCACTACCAGGAAGCATGCTGGGCTTTGAAGAGTTCAACCAGGCCATGGAGCAGCACAGCGGAAAGACCGTATTTGCCTACTTCACCGGTCCTAAAGACGCCGAAGGGAAAAGCTGGTGCCCCGACTGCGTGCAAGCTGAACCAGTCGTACGAGAAGCATGATAGTGAAGGATGTCTGTTTATCAATTGCCAAGTAGGAGAGAAACCTTATTGGAAAGCTCCAAATAATGACTTCAGAACAAAGTCGAAAATAACTGCAGTGCCTCACTACTTAAATGTGGAATATCTCAAAAACTGGTAGAATCTGAATGTCTTCAGGCTGACCTTGTGGAGATGCTATTCTCTGAAGATTAAGATTTGATTATGGCAAATGTCTTGATTTCCTGATTTGCTTTAGTATAAAGAAACTTCATAATTGCTTTAAATTGATGTTAGCAATAACTAAATGCTTGAAAAATTGCCTTATGTCTATACAATAGACAGTATTAAAGTGATCACAAACCTTCAGTTTGCCTGGAATATATGGACATCTTTAAGATACGAATAAAGTAAGTCATTAAGACTGGCAAAAAAAAAAGGAGGGGGGGCAGCAGTTGGTATAATGGCTATGTCCTTGTACTCCCATCCACAGCGGTTCAAGTCCCAGACCCGATGGCTTAAACTCACACCGGGCAGGTGTGCAAGTCCCAGACCCGATGGCTTAAACTCACACCGGGCAGGTGTGCGTGCATGCACAAGATGCCAAGAGGAGAATGGATTGGGGCGTGGCCATCCCCCTGGGGGGTGATTTCTTGCTTTCTGTCTCTCTGTCTCTGTCTTTCTGGCAAGTACACCCACCCTATAGCAAAAACCTCTCAAAAAGAAAGAAAGAAAGAAAAATGAAGTAAAGGTAAATCATAAAAAGCTGAAATTAGGGGATATCCAGTGCCACCCTGAAGGCGACTGTTTGCTGGAAGTAAACCCATACTCATCGTACAAGATACAAAACTAGTTTGTGCAGTACCTAAATTGATAAAAACTGAGGTCTTTTTGCAAAATTTAAGTTCACTGCCTGCCAAGTCTCCTTGGTCTGTGGAAACTAAGCCATGTAAGTTTCGCCCAAGTGTCGAGAGAGTTTAGTCATCATTCACACAGAGCCAGCAATTCCATCAGCGACACGTTTACCGACACTCTTCAAGGGGTACAAGACATCTTCAAGGATGCACGGGGTGGGAGGAGTGCGTGGCTGTCACACTCCCCGTCCCAGGTACAAACGCCTGGCGCAGGGGCTGGCTGCGGAGAGGTGGGCTCCTCTTTCTCTCCCAGCCCCACTACGCGGCGTCTGTGGTTTCCCAGATGACTGAGAACTCCCGCGGCCGACCTCGAGGAAACGCCAGAGCGGCCTGGGAAGGGCCACGGCCGGCCGACGCGTTTTAAGGCGAGGCCACCCAGAGAAGCCCGAGATCTCGCCCCTGCCTTTGGGCCTTGGGTCGCTGAGCCCCCTTTTGGCCACAGGACAAGATCACGCGGCACTTCGCCTTCCGCGGCCTCGGGGGCGCCCCCCGCGCCTGGGAGAGCTCGAAGGCCCGACGCTTCCGGCCAGGCGGCCCCTGCAGTCGGCTCGCCAGGCTCTCCTTACCCCCTTGTCCCCTGCCCCC